GGGACGAGGGGCGCGGGGCGGCGCTGCGCCGGCGCGTGTCACGGCGGATTTGCTTAAATAACAAATTGTCTCATAATTTGGAGCGTCTTATCGCCTTTGATCTCCGGTCCAAGCAATAATTCGTGTATTTGTTCACACGTGTGATGACAGTTTGTTTCAATTTATTATTTCGTACAATAGTCTTATCTTAACAGCAAATAAATGTTTTATAACAAGAATGTTTTGGTTGCCTTAACTTAATTTATTTTATTAATTGGACATATATTTTGTAGATGATTAGTTATCAAATTGATATGAAAATACATATTTCAATAACCAATACACAAATTTTAATTTTAGAAACTAATGTCTACTTTTTCTTCCTTAGCTCTACAGACATTTGTGGGCCTTGGCTTAGTTGAGCAATTTTTTCCACTTTACTTAGATGCTATGAAATGTCTACGGAGTAGGTAAAAAGAGAAATATTATATTTTGTACTGCTAATAGATTATCATAAAGCTAATGGCGTTAGGGTAATGTGCGGCTTTGTGACCACCCAGGACGCTATACGGAAAGGTCTCTATCTCATAGAAACTTGTTAATTCTCTCATTCTTGAAATGTAGTAAAAAAAGAGGGCGCCGAAACCTAGTCCAGGGCGCTAGTAGCCTTAAAACCGGTAATGAAAAAACCATTTCAACGTCCTTAAAAACGATTGTCAGCGTTTTGTTGAAACAAGAGAAAGACATTAACTTCCGATTTCTTATAAGTAACTAAAATATTATAGATATGACGAATTACCAAAAAACCTTGTATGATATCGAATAATCTAAATCGGTTGTTGCTCGATTACAAAGTAGGGAAGTACCGCAGCCCAGGTAGGATTGCGATGACTGAACATAGGTATTCTAGAAATACAGTCTAACATGAGGTAATAGTCCCGGTCTAGACTGCAGTAACAATATTTTACTAGTGATTAGGGGTATGTTCTATATTATTTACGTTAAAAAATGAGAACAATTTTCAATTAAAGGATTGAGACATAAAAAACATGCGCTGTTATAATAAAAAAGAAAGGAAACACTTGAAAGAGCAATAGGACCGATGACTGAAAAACAGACCTGCCTCAGAACAACAAATAAAAAAGTAATGGGTTAAATTGAATTCAATAATTGTTACGTAGTGATGTAATGAAGCACAATAATTGATATCAAAGTCTTATCTAAATCTCTATAATACGGTAATCCGCAATTTCTTCGGTACAGTCCCTGGATTTATTTTGCTTTTACTTAAAACTGTTTTCATTCGGTGTCTGTAGATAAGTTAATAACATAAATCACGATGTTTATTTATTTCATAATCTTAAAACATAATAGCAAAGAGAAACTAAAAATAAACACCAGAGTTTGGGTGTTTAAGTAAGTCGAAGATTTTTTTAAAAAAAAAACCTTGTATCTTCGTCGTACAACAAAAATTATGCATTTTGTTACTTTGGAAAACTACAGTAAAATTCTGAAAAAAACATGCTTTAGTTTAATATTTCTTGATAAATGTTCTTTATTCAGAATTTAAATCAGCGAAAGGGAATTTAGTAACAAAAAACACGGTCATTTCAATTAAGTCAAATTTCCATCTAAGTTATATGCTGGTACCGTGAAAGGCTTTCGTGCGGCGACGTGGCCTCCTGCGTTCCGGTAACACTTCAGCTGAAATATCGATTGCAAGCATTCTGCGAAGGAAGGCCACATCACGAGTGACGTCACCTACCGGAAGCTCCGCGGATGACTTACACTGTCTGAATGACTTCTGTAATTTTTCAGGCATGTCGTATCGTATTAAGCTTTAGTAAAAGTTGAGTGTTCAACATTACAATGGTAATGAAACTGTGTTAAAAGTTCATACAATAACTAATTAACTAGTTTCTCTATTTCAGTGGCTTCACAGATAAATTTAGAACTTGAAAAGTGTAAACGTAAAAAGTGATCGATTTTTTTTAATCAAGCAAAGCAAGCGTTTAACTTTACACTAGCACAATTGAAGATTTAACTTAAGTTCCTTTGAGTTTTAATAAGTTTTTTATCATTGCCAATGGCTTCAATCGCTATCTTATTTCGTAAAATAGTGAAAACAATCACGTAGCTCACGTTGTTGTTTTTATCTAAAGATATTTAAATCAAATTTGATTCCACGATTACTGAATAAATGTAAAAAAAAGTATGAGCTAGTTAATACGACAGAGACGGACACTTTGCCAACTGTCACAATGTTTATAAAACATCCATCTTCCAATATTAATTTAGAGTCGGTTTCCACTGTGAGCATTCCACCGCAATGCCATCATGTGGTTGAATAGAAAATGTTATTATATTATTTAATGACTAATGGCGTTTCACACAAGGGCAGGAGAAGATAGAATAGAATAGGAGACAGGGCATTACTAGTTTTAACGCTGATTTACTATTAAAACTTCTGTATAGGCATTGTGCGTTTGAACAATAGCACTTCAAATGCAAATGCCTCACTCTTCTACCTTAGTGCGAAACTAGCATAATGCCTACCACTGCACTATGGAAAACTGTCGGTCACATCGCACAAACCACATTATTATAGAAATGAATAAGCCAATGAAAACATAATTTCTATGACAAATAGAAGATTTTGTCACATTTTTCAACCAACTTTTGATTTCAGGTTAATAAATTAAGTCAAGTGCCTTATTATTGGAAAAATAATACGTGCGTATTGGTACATAGAGATAACAGTTACAACTGCTTATCAATAAAATGGCAGCATTCAATGTTTTGCATCACTCTAATACAAGTCAATGACTTTGTACACTTTGACTTGGAATCTTACCCTCGCTTTAAAAATTTTCTTTGCTAATTTCGAAAGGAACCTATATTTTTAGCGATAATATTGGTATTTATTTCCTTAATAGATTTTAGAGGATTTAAACAGTAATAAATAAAATGACAAAATCAGGTAAACTTTCATTTAATAATTGACGTAAAACTGTGGTTCCAAAAAAATCGGTACTTTTCCAACAGTGCACGGAGTTGGGATTCCCTCCTCCCAGTTGGACTACATCCTTTTATAAAAGGCTCGTAGTTTTTAGCTGCAGGTTATGGAATAACCCAATGCGATACCTATTTAGTTACGGATCCGTGATACACTTTTATTATTTTATTTACTGTTGCCGATCTCGTTTCATTTTTATAACACGCTTTTGTTACAAACTTGGTTCAATGATTCAATTACCACAGACTATCCGTATTAGAAGTCTGACCATAGACACAAATGTTTCTAATTATTCTAGTTTATTGTCAACTAATCACTATATTATGATTTTTATTGCGTTAAATTATTTACAATAAACCCAATGCAAGTTAGCCGATAGTTTGCAACGAATGTAACATTTTTAAACGTTCCCGATATTTCGATTAATTAACGACTTTTAAAAATTACGAATACATCTCTGTCTGTCGAGTAATCATTACTGAATCATCCAGATTATTATGATTTGTGATCGTCAGACTGATTTCACTAGTAAAAGCTAATTATAATTTGGTTATTCGACTGTGTGTTATAAACAAATTTTCTATTATTATCAGTACGTGTTGACGACATTGGATTGTCGGTATATCGGCTTAGTTAAAATATTTAGTGTATCAAATCGCAGTAACATCAGGAAATGATTACATCGACAATTATTTGTGACGTTATTCAATGGTCACGCGTACAGGATGGGTAAAACATCTACTAACGTTATAGGGTTGCCACCCTTGACATATTTAAATGTATGAAATGCCTGTGAACCATGTAAAGATAACCTTATCCGATCCTACTTCTCTGTCCCCTTACTTGATGATTTATAAAAAAACGGTTTTATTTAACTTAAACTTTGAGGTAAGTGGTAGCAAGAAACTTCTTTCAACCATGGTAAGAAATATCTTAGCCTCTGAGATAATAATGAAACCTTAGATAAAATTTGATGGTGAGTTATTTGGGCAGCCCTAGCACTGGCCAATTGTTAACATAAACAGTAGCTCTTCAGTGTTCAAGGAATAGCCCACGCTGATATACCGAGACATTTAATTATAAATATTTCCTTGATTAAACCATAATACATAAGGTTACATCATTTGGTGAGACACTACATTATATAATCTGGCAGTAGCATAGCTTTATAGCTTCATATGTTTGCAAAAAAAAACAAAACAGATTTTAAAGTAGACTAAGGGCCTGTCCTTCAACTGGCTGATAGAAGCTCAGATAGCTTATTAATGACACCACTGCCAGATAAGGGAACAAAATCCGATTATTACACTTTTTACACGTTGCATTGTTATCAGACAATTAACAATTTGATGGGACAGGCCTTTCAAGTTGTTAATTGCTTCCTAAGAG